ATGGACGGACGCACGGATGGCGGCATGGACGGATGAACGCATGGACGGACGCAGGAGCGGATGCATGGACGAACGCAGCGATGGACGCACAGATGGACGTGCGGACGCACGAACAGACGCTCGCATGGACGGGTGGACGGAAGCAAGAACGAATGGATGGACGGATGCTTCGCCCCACTCTCCATCATTCACTCCGTGGATATGCTGCCATTTTTTTAGAATTGGATATATGTTTCTTTAAAAACACTTCCATCTAATTTCGTCTGACCAAGAAAAGCAGCGCGCAAACACCTATTTACTCATTCGTTAATTATACCACAACGATAGTTTGCGCAAGTCTTTGTAGGTTACTTTTTTATAGTAGTGGACCAGGGCGAGTAAGGTGGGTTGTCTGAAATCTGTGGCGCATACCCATATAGATTTCCGTTTGTGAGGGTGGCTGCTTGGTAGGTTGGTGGATTTGCGCATGACCTAGCTATAGCAATATTTGCTGTAAAGATATTTGTGTTACAGGCTCACTCGACAATACGAGGTCATGTTGGAATGCGCGAGAAACATACACGCTTTCCTGCACGATACTTTCTTTTGGCCATTATATTCCTGGGGTCTTAACCTATGCATGATCGCAAGTGAATCTTTTTTTAAACCCCATTATGGTGGTGGTGCATGGCCGTCATTCAGCGATTATGTCACGACAAAGTCCACTCCTGACAAATCGAAAAAAAAAGATTACAAGATTACGCCATCTCCCGCTAATGGGAACCATGTGTAGATGCGAAGCAGCGGGCGCTAACGCTCACACTGGCGGCGACGTTGACGCTGGCGGTCAACGCGGCGTTGCGCAGAAGAGAAACCTGGGAGTCGCTAAAGACGCATTGACGGACCGGTGTTTCCTGCTGGAAGATGGCAATCGTTGCTTATGGACAATGAGAGACAGAAGACTCTGATTGGAGACAGAGACTTGCAGTCCACTTTATTTTTTAGTTAACGCGCACACAGTGAATTTTAATTGTTAAACAACGCACAAGAATAGTCTCCCACTGGCCCTACCATGGACTTCAGGAGTGATCATTAGCCCTTCGAAGGTGGCATGGCACCGCCTGGCGGGATGCCTGAATGACGTCAAGGCAAAGATGCTTCCACGCTTGCCGTGGCACGCATAATATGCGCTCGCCACGTACGCGGTTCCGCTAATTGCGATCGTTTTTCGTTTGACTCAAACTTCAGATAATCGACAAAAGCAGCATCGATGATGCTCTAAATAAAACGATGGTGAAAATCTTTACTTCAGTATAATGATCAACGGTTACCACGCTTCACCATACACACCTTTATCAGGTTTTGTAGCCGTGCTTTTAAACTGGAGGAGGGGTTAAATTCTCGGCCGTGGCAGCCGCTTTACGACGTGAGCGATGAGCCGGAACATGTTTGTGCTTGGGTAGAAATTTATTCTACAGCGTTCCCGTATTTAAGTCATCATTTTTACACATAAAACAGCATATTTTCATTATTAAGTTGCTTTTTTCAGGAGCGGTTTTTTTTTTCGAAATACTATGTTCCAACTTTTCAAACTTTTATTCGTATCGCTCACATGCGCATATATGGGCGTGGATTGTTTTTTGCGCCTGTGTACCAAGTTCCAGGCAGAGTTGCAAAAAACCCACGCAGTATCAAGGCTCGCAAAATACCTCCAAAAGGCTTGGCCGAGTATCCCAGCTGTTGTATTGGTTTTTTTATGTGTTCTCGCTCAGTCGTCGTGTCGTCTCACGCTTTCCTCGCAGTGATTTCGCGAATATACCTCACTTGAAACGAGCTGAGGTTAATTGCGGAAATTTCATCGTAGCACTGGCGTTGTTACACTCGTTTTTTCCGCCATATTTCAGTAGGTATGTTGTTACCGTATCCTAACCAGCGGCTTTGCGTCGTTGCATTCCTTCTAGTGTTTTCCTTACTTTTCTTGTCGTTACTGGTAGGATGTCGAATTCCTTCAGGCTAATATTACTGCTTACGGTATCATCCTAGTTGTTCAGGCTTCTGTACAGCTCTCTGTAGAACTCCTTTACCACCTCAACTATCCTATCCATATTGGTTATGACATTGCCTTCCTTGTCCTTTAATGCCTAAATCCGAATTCTGCCTATGGACAAGTTTGCCTTTGCAGGCTTCTGCCGCTTTTTAAAGCCTTCTCAATTCTTTCGATGTTATACGTTCTGATCTCAGCTACCTTACCCCTATTGATTAACTTCGAATGTACCACTAGCTATATATTTTCAGTTGCATTTGAGGTTTTTATGGTTTGTCGTCTCTTAATGAGATTTCTGGCCTCCTGAGATAGATTTCCAGTGTCCTTTCTAGTGACCGTACCGTCGACTTCAATTGCACACTCTTTGATGATACAAGTAAGATATACGTTCATTGTGTCAATCCTAACGTCGATTACCTTGTTAAGAGCCTCGAGTCTATTCTGAAGCAAGACTCTGTATTCCTGTACTTTCCCTTTCACGCTAGCTCACTGATTAACTTCTTGCACATCCGTAATAAGCTTCATTTTGTGTGCACACCCAGGCGTTGTACAGGGTGTAGAAGTAGTTCGCAAGATCCGATGCAGCGACCATAGGAATGTAAGAGTTCGTGTACCGGGTCCTACGTAGCTTCTTATCGATAGAAATGAAGTTCATTGTCATCTTTGGGTGCCTTATACAGGGTGTCCCACATAACTTGAGCCAAGAATCTGAAAATGAACACTTCAGTGGTGAATTGAACCATTGAAACGCACACTACTCGCACTAGCCTGTAGGTACTCAGGCTATTTTTATTTCTCCCCATACTAATTATTATTAATTCCTTAATTACCTGCTTTTTTATTACGGGCCGGAAACCAAAAATATGTACACTGAGATGTAGAGCACTTTCAGAAACCACTGACTAAACTTTTTTTCGGTACGATACGTTTCGCGCTGTTATTTTTTCCATGTTATAAAGAAAGCCGCGAAATTAAAAAAAAAGCCGTGTCACGAACCACGAGCGCACTGATATAGTGCTGCTATAGGCTTTGTTTGCAACGCGAAAAATATAACAGCGCTACATGAATCGCACAGAAGCAATTCAGTTCTACATCTACATCTTAGAGTTCATAATTTGGGTTTTCAGCCTATAAATGTAAATTAAGTAGTTAAGAGTTAAACAAATAAATTAGTAGGGGGAGAAACAAAAATCCCAAGTGCCTACAGGCTAGTGCGAAGTATGCGCTTGGTTCAATTCGCCTCCTAAGTGCCTTTCAATTTGAAATTTTTGGATTCAAGTTATGTGGGACATTCTATATATCTGCATATCAATGTTAAGCAAATTTCATCGAGCCAATATCGCCAAATTACAAAAAAATCCTTTTATATTCCTCGCACTTCACGTGCAGATATTTTGGAGCTTAATTTTCTCCACTAATAATTCACTTATGATAGTAAAGCTTATGCCAGTAAAGTTCCGAGAGTGCAGTTTATCAATAAAAACCAAGTCAGTGTTCTTCTTTAGCGGCCCTTTAATGAGGCCCTGCAACACTTTTTGAGCTTGGTCAGAAAACGGTGCCGATCGGTAGTAGAGGCTCCCGAGAACACGTGAGTGAAATGTTATAGCGCAGCATGCAGCCTAGAATTCAGAATAAATTATCAAAGTAAGCTGGAAATTGCTTTCTTTTCAGTCCACAAATGATGGAAGAGGACTAAAAATAACTCGTACAATGCCCATCTGTCAGCCATTGGCTGATTTGAACATGGCGCACTTGGTCATTACAGAGATCGCCACGGGAGGCCGTCACTTGTCCACGCGTGCGCGAACGATCGCACTGAGAAAGCCGCGTATTCGAAAAAAAAGTGCTCAAGGTCACGAGGCGCGTGTCACGTTTTTCTGTGCGCCTGCCATCCCTCCCTGCTTAGCTTCCAGCCCTTTCGTCGGGATGACAGAAGAGAGAATGCGATTGTAGGGTGTGACAAATCTTTGTAACTCCGCTCATACTGGACGGATTCTTAGTTTTTGCGGCGTTGAATTTGTGAGGCGATAAGCTTCTTTCGCTGAATTAATTTTATAGTTACTCAAAAAAGTGTTTCAGGGCCCTTTTAAGCATCGTACAAAACAGTGCCATGCTAAAAGAACTTCTTGGGCTAGTTGTGATCGTCTTACTGCAGGATATGTGCGCAAAGATCGAAGAACTGAAGCAAAACGAAGTCAACCGTAAGAATGCTCGAAACAGGAAGAGCACTCAGTTTGAGCTTGAGATTGACGTCATAAGTCAGCCGGCCGATGAAACCATTCCGCCTCCGTAGTACAATAGACAACTATATTCAGCCTTACAAGTCAACTCGAATCAGAAAATAACTGTCATGGTGACGTGATATATAGCTTATATCCAGGCCATTCCTCACCCTTGCTAAAGTAGGCATTTTAGCTTTAAAGTGTCTCACTGGCACTGCTATGCGCTGAACAGCCACAGAAGCTTTATACCTTGAGTCTATTTGAGAACCCACCAGCTTCCCGTTATTCTGATTGAAGCATCCCGTTATTCTGATTGTCAGGCTTCGCCGAAATATTTTAGGCTTAAATCATTCTCAGATCCGGCCGATCTTCCCACTGCATTAAATCACGGATGCATCGAGTGCACGTGGTCAACCATAATTTTTCTTTAAATACTATGAGCTAACTATTCGCACATTGACATTAAGCTTCAGAGCACGTTGGCACTTACGTAGTTATCGAACCGTTCGCCAGGTTTAAATGTTTCGCTGAAGATGATGCATTATCGAGAGCGCTGACCAAAAAAAGATATCATGCTCACTGCGCATGCTGAAGTTGGTTCCACCTCGCAGTGGTGATCTCGCTGTCACTGATGATCGCAGTAAATCATAGACCTACCTCGAAATCAAATGCGAGGTGACGTCACGGGGGCGTCAAAATAATAGTCGACCACCGCCCAACATCTAGTTCTTTTTTCTTCTTCAGCAGCATACATCACTGCTGGAAGTTCTACATACCAGGTGTTCTTTCGGGGCTGTGCGGAGTCGGGCTTCGTCGGGCCTTCGCCCAAAATTCAAGGTAAGCCTTGTGGTTATGAAGACTCGCCATGTGACGCGGGGATGGAGAACCGATGTATTCAAAGAACCATATGTGAAAGAGAAAACAATTCACTTAACATTTTCATTCATGTGGTGGAAGACTTAAGCATTGCTAAGCGGCTGCCGTCTAGCACGTCCTCCCGGCTTGAGCGACGTGCTTATTCGCTCATATCGAAACGTTTTCACACTCTTGTGTTCCCGGCGTAAGCCTGTTCCAAGGTCACGGCTATAGTTTCTGGTATTACCAGCTGCTATAAAATGGTTCGGATAGGAAACAAATTTATAGAATGATGTTTGTGCTGTTGCTTTTGAAACTATTTTGTGTAACAATCTATAGTGTCCAACAGATGATTCATGCTCGCGAATGTATACTTCGTAGGAGCTCGTACTTTTTGTAAACTATGCTATAGAAGCTCCGCTCTACGAAAAATGGGTCATTCTTTTTACGATGTTTATATCTAGCAAGCATATTTCACTTGATATGATCTCATGTAGTACAGCCGCCCATTTTTAACCTGAACGCGCAAGTGTCGCCCACCAATTCGATAAGCGGCGTCTATCGGAGCACATCGCAAAGTGAACGGGAATACGTGTCTGTCTGTGATGAACAGTCCTATGCATCTGTCTTCTGTTAGGCTGTTCTACGAACTGGACACCAGGACGCCAGGAACAGGCGCCTACAGACTCAGCGGTCAATGCTTGCGGGTTCAGGATAAAAAAAAAGACGCTGCTGTACAATGCCAGTTAGGTCGCCGACGTCAACGAAACGTCGCGTTAGAGTAAAGCTTGTCTAGAAAGCACAGACGCTTGTTTCCTTGCAGCAAAGCTTATTCTATTGTGGCACCATCATTGTCCCACGGTCTCCCATGTAATTTGATACATGCTACACTCGTAAGGGGAGTTCGCTCATTCGCTGCAGAACTGTGGTACGCACAAATTGCCCAGATGAGGCATTTTGTATAACCACCACTGTGATTTTGTGCCTCACCGTCATTAGCTGTGTAGATCACCAGAAGACTGGGGCAAGTGGCGTCGATGTGACAACCCAGAACTCCGTAAGCCCCGCATGCAGGATTACTGAATGGTAACGGTTGCCTAGCATGTGCTTCGTTAGGGACAATTCTCGACATTGGTAGAATACATTGTATTTTTTCATTACGGCCTGTATTAGTCCTCGTTGCGTTGGGTAGATTGTACGCCTATTCAACTGTGGCGAATATTGAACTATATCGGCATGCTAAGTTAGTCTGTAGCATTTTCAGGACTTCCTTCGTAATGCTTCTTTTCGTCACTTTACAATAAGTTGAACCTGATTGAATTGTCGTTGTTGAGAAGGCTCTCGGATGAGTCTCTGTGCACATTTATCACCTGTGACGATGTTCTGTATTATTGGCGGGTCCTTTTGCTTATCTTAGTTCGTATAAGCAGAGTTCACGCGACATTAAGGGGTTTTGCATGCTATTTGAGCATAGTCTGAAAACGCTGCCGATTGCTGGTCGAGGCTCCCGAGCCCACGCAAATGAAATATTAAGGCGCAGCACGTGGAGTCGAATAACAGTAAATTCTCAGTCCTCTGTTCTCCATAAATGATTCTAAATGCTCAAAATCAATTTGTCAGAAACCAATATCACGCCATTAGCTGATTCGAGTGCACCATGTTCATGAGTTACTGGGCCGTCACAAGAATCCTCGATCTGTCCGCGCGCACATGTGATCGCACTGATAAGCCGGTGGTTCGAAAAAGAGAAAAGACCGCTCAATGTCAAGGGGTGGACGTGACGTATCTTCTTTCCCTTTTCCATCTTTGCTTGCTTGGCTTCCAGCGCTTTCGTCAAGACAGAGAACAGAGAAAGCAATTCGAGCGTGTGACAAAGGTTCAACTACGCTCGCACAAGAACGAATTCTAAAACTTTTTTGTAAAGACCACTTCGTGAGGCAATAAGCGCCTTTACTAAATTTATTCTAGGGCTACTTGCAAAACGTTTCAGGGCTATTTAAACCAACATATTTACGTTTTTATTGAAGTGAGCAAACGGCTGATCTTCATTCGCTGATCTAGCTCACTTCTAGCTCATTCGCTGAGCTAGAAATTTTTATGGGTGAGCTACATACCTTTCAATCAGAACACGTCCGCCTCGTGGCTGGATCTAAAACGCTATAGAGGAATGCCGCTAGTACCTTGTTATGCGATGCAATAATACTCTTAACGCCATTATGCATTAAGCGCAATTAACGTAGGTTTTTAATTGATTTAACCTTCCTTTTTTTCACCTATATATCATGCAAGGCAGGGCCAGTGAGGCCTTTTGAAAGTGAAGTTCCTGTTAATGGCACTTCTGTTCCTTCAATGAATTCCTTTTCTTTAGTCTGCTAGATTTTCACTTTGTGCGCTGCCGCACTGCATGGTTTTATTCTCACGGCTATGTTTTATAATTATGAGCCAGGCTCGTAGCCAGCCACTTTTTCGCGGGCCATCCACTAGTTGAAAGTCTTGAAAAATACCCATGGATGGTGATTATTTGTCCTCAGTAAAACACCCCCCTAGCACCAATCGAATTTTGGAAAGGAGGGGGGCTAGGCTTCCCCCCTCACATATAGTTATGAGGTTGTCGTGAGCTATGTGTCGCTACGTAATATGAACACGGCCAGCTGCTGATTAGGTATGGATTTCTGCGTTGGTCATGACTTAATAGGATGTTTACATATTGCTGACGTTGAAATTCAGAGTGCTCATAAAAAGATATGCGTGACGCGCTCCGTTGGAGCTATATGCCGATGGTGTACGTAAACGCCGCTTTTTAAAGATTCTTTACGACTTCCACTTTATCACTAGTATTCAATATATTAGTGAGAGATAAGCATTAGGTCTGCCCTTTTTGCGTGGACTTCATGCGACAAAACAAGTGATACCGAGTACTCCGCGGTAACGATCCAAATCATGCAGCCATTCATGCGAAATCTCGAGTTCATTCCTGTAGGTGTGCCTACTTAGAGACTGAAGCAACGTTTTCAACTCTGCGCCTAAGGTGCACCTTTTCGAGAAATTAGTAAAATGCAAGTAGTCATAGTGTCAGTTGCGCACATCCGCTACTTTTTGGCACCTCGGCTGCTTGGACTGCCTGGAAAATTTTGTTGTTCGACAAACAAAGAAAACTGGTATTTTCAGCCACACAAACAACCAGTGACCCTGCACTTCTTGTACAGCATTTTCTTTAGTTTTTGGAAGACCACATTTCGAAATATTACTTTCAAAAACCTACTATTGTACTTCCATCTAAGAGCTATATATAAACGTACGATACCACAGCACAAATCTACTTCAAATGAGGGTCATATAACTACCAGTTTATAAAACGAAAACCAAGCGAATGCGTTCACTGAACAACCACATGCTCTTGTAAGTAGCTTGCATTCTTGCGGCTTCTGGTGCATTAGGTCTCAACTATGCACGTTATTACACGTGCCCTCGGAAATTAGGTTTTGAAGGGTGACGAAACCCAAAATTGACCTAAAGAATACACCAGAGCTCACGAACACTTGAGTGTGGCCCTACAAAGCACCCATGTCCAACGTTAAGCTAGCCTTTATTTTTATTTTAGAAATCAGACAAATGTGAAAAGAAGTAAATTGATAGAAAGGCGAAAGTAGGGGCTACTTCGTTCTACATAGTCGACATATGGCACACGCTGTTTGAACACGAAGAATGAAAGCAAGGACACAGACGAGAACGAACTCGCAACTGTTTATTTGGTGGCAACATGACAAATATATACGGGGTGAAAGAAGGAAAGAAAGCGTGAGCCTGAGCATCGCACACGACAGGAGAGAAACCATCTGCTTAAGATCATGCAATTCAGCCTTTTCTTGTCTTGTCTTGTCTCCTAAGAGATCTTGGCTCATACCCACATGGGGGATTGGCCACACTGTACCTCATAATAGATCATTTTTACAACGCTTGCTAAAAAAAATAAAGAGAAATTAGATAGGAACAATAATAATGTTCCTTTGAAAAAACGTGAAAACTTTCAGAAGAATGCGATAAATCCAGTATATATAAAACAAATTAACAAGAATGAGGAAGGGGGAGAAAGAATCGGATATATCTGGCAGTACCACTAGCAGCGTATCCTTCCGGTTGCCTGAATGAATTTATGTAGCGCTGACAGAATAGCACTGCGGCCCACACCCAACTGACTGGCTCCAAACGATAATAGGGTGGATGTATTGACTGGCAATCCGAGCATACCAATCGTTCTTTCAAGAATTATTCGGCGCAGTGAGGCAAAGTCTTGTCTTGTCTTGTCTCCTAGGAGATCTGGTGGCATGTGAGAAAAAAGTGAGATTTACTTCTTCCTTTCTTTTCTTCTTTTTCTTTCACCACAAAAAGTTGTACGATCGCGATCGTCAGCATCCTTCCTGAAATTTTGCGTTCTTCTTAATGTTCAAAGAACACGTTGCAAGTGCCTGAACTGTTCAGGTGCTAAAATCCCGATAGAAGAGACCCGAAGTAAGCGCGACTCTTTTTTTTTATGCTGTACCGACAGGCGAGCGTTCTGCTGTATATCGTCTAGTGAGCGCGGGACTCTTGTGTGAACCGGACGCCTCTAGGAAATTTTTACTGTCACATTACTTTTCCTTTGCACTTAGACTACCTGTATTGATCACTGCTTAAAAGCATAAAATTTTCTATATCAGCCTATGTTCGCATATAGGCTGAACCTTTAGAGCACATTTTTTTACTGCATCTGCCCATAACTGTTACCTTAGTCTCATAAAACATTTAAAGCAATTACTGGATCGGAAAGCGAAAAAATCATTCTGTGCAAGGGCAATTTCGGAAACACAGAAACGCAAATCAAGAGTACGTGAGATGAAAACTTTGCCCTAATAATTGCTAAAGAAAAAACATGGCCCCGAATCTGCATGTTACACTGGAAACGTAGTCGAAAGACGATAGTCTTGTGTCTGAAGAGAGTGAAC